AATTGTCTAGATTCCAATATTGGAGTGAGTCAGCAGAGAGATCTCTATCTTTCAAATATAAAACTATAGACCAATATGCCTGATGATTATAGATATAAATTTTCATAAGACTAGCCATTCAAATCCTACAGCAAATAAAAACCAATTAGGATGTCCTGGGGGTGTAAGGGATAGTTAAATGCATGCAAATCAAAAGAAAATAAACTCACATCAACAAGATGATGGATAACATCATTAGAATATCTCAATTGGGGTAATTAAAGCATTCAAAAATTAACATCAGTTTATGACAAAATTGTGAGCAACATATTTTAGAAAGGATCATACCTCAATACAGTAAAGACTGTATACTTATTAACCCATATCTAACATTATGCAGAATGGCAAAGAGCCTGAAAGCATTTCATTTCAAGATCTGGAGCCAGACAAGAATGCTGAGTCTAACCACTGTTATTCAATATTGCACTGACAGTTTGCACCAAAAAAGTAGGCAAGTGCAGAAAGAAAAGGCTGCTAACAGGAAAGAAGAAAGCAAATTATGTTCTGTTTCCAGATGACACAATTCTATACACAGAGAAAACAAATGACTCTACCAAGAGACTTCTGTAACAGATCAATGGATTCACCAAAGTTGCGGGATACAAAATGAACACAGAAGAATCAGGAGCACTTTTGTATCCAATAGTGAACTCACTGAAAACTATAAAAAAATTGGATTCACAACAGCTGCAAGAAAACAAAAGACCTTGGAATAAATATAACCCAGGATGTGAAAGACCTCTGCAAGAAAAAATTTACAAATAGTGATGAAAGGAATTGAAGAGAAAAGGTTAAAAACTGCCATCAGAACACAAATAAATTCTTCATAGTATTACACAAAATGAACTTAAAAATAATATGGAATTGGGGTCAGCATTGTGGCACATCACATAAAGCCCCCATCTGTGATGCTGGTACCCCAGATGTGCTCTGGTTTGAGTCCTAAGTGGTCCACTTCTGAGCCAGCTCTCAGCTAATGGCTTGGGATAGCAATGGAAGGCAGCTCAAGTACTTGAGGCCCTGCCACCCACATGGGAGACTCAAATGAAGCTCTTGGCTCCTAAGTTCCATCTGGCCCAGGCCTGGCCACTGTGACCATTTGAGGAGTGAATCAACAGTTGGAATATCTCTTTCTGTCTCTCCCTCTCTTTCTCTAATATTCCAACTTTCAAATTAATCAATGTTTTGGAGAATTAATATGGGGTCAAAAAGTACCCCAAACAGCCAAAGCAATACTGAAGAACAGCATTCTGGTATCACTAAAATCTGAATCCAATACAGATATTTATAACAGATAGTATACTATAATATTTGTTAATACATATATAATAACATAATTATACTATATTATATACATATTACATATTATATAATATATAATATTATAATCATAATATAATTATAATATATTATAATACATATAATATATAGTATATTATGTATTACTTTATAACAGATATTATAACCACTGGCATTAAAACAGACACATAGACCAATGGGACAGAATAGAGGTCCCAGAAAGAAACCCATACATCCACAGATAATTTACATTTGACAGATACTCCAAAAATAAAATATGCTAAGAAAGAAATCTTTTCAGTAATTGTCCAGAGGAAAATGGGTATTCATACGCAGAAGACTGAAAGGAGACTGTCCCAACCTTACCCTACACAAAAAACAAATTTACTCAATGAATTTAATGTAAAACATAAATCTCATAAAGAAGACAGGGAACTCTACAACATTGGCATAAGCAATAGCTTTGGATAAGATCCCAAAAGTGCGAGCAATAAAAATACAAATATATAATTTTGATATCAACTAAGAAGATTCCTAAAGCCAAAAACAATATAAACAAACAAAACAGCCACCAAAATGAAGATATAACCAATTGAATGAGCTAAAACATTTGTAAACTATGCATCTGACAAAGGACTGATGCAGAACATGTACAGAACTGGAAAAACTGCACAGTAGCAACAAGAAACAATATAGCTAACCAGTAAAAGGACATGAATAGGGACAGGCACTGTGGTATAGCAGGTAAAGCTGCCTCCTGTAGTGCCCACTTCCCATATGGGCACTGGTTTGAGTCCTGGCTGTTTCACTTCCAATCCAGCTCTCTGCTATGACCTGGGAAAGCAATGGGAGATGGCCCAAGTCCTTAGGCTCCTGCACCCACATGGGAAGACCAGAAGGAAGCTCCTGGTTCCTGGCTTCAGATCGGCACAGCTCCGGCCATTGAGGCTATCTGGGGAGTGAACCAGCAGATGGAAGACTTCTCTCCCTCTTTCTCTCTCTCTCACTATACCTCTGCTTCTCTGCAACTGCCCTTCAAATAAAAATAAATCTTTAAAAAATTAAGTGAAGGTACAAAAAAATTCACTTTGTTTGTTTCTACATAATTTACCAGAAAAAAGGTTTATCCAAAATGATATCAACTCAGTCGTTACAACTTCTGATAGATAAAAGGAATGACAAATTATACAGAAGGTAAGAGGAAGGGATTGGGAAAATTCTATTAAAAGTTATCTGCACTACCTAAAAAATAGCATGTTACTTGAAAGTGGGTTTGGGTTATTTGATAGTGTACACTGCAAACTCTAGAGAAATTATTTTAAAATATTAGAAAGCATATATCCTTGACATCTTAATAGAATGCTCAACTTTAGTGAGAAGATGTGGGCCTTTTGTATAGTGGTTAAGAGAGTTCTGAATGCCACCATCCCACACTGGAGTCCAGTGTTTTAGTCTTGGCTACATTCCCAATTCCCACTTTGTGCTAATGCATACCCTGGAAGGAAGTAGGTAATGACGTGATTTTTGCATCTCTGCCATCTCAATCTTTGACATAGATTAATTTCTTGGCTTATATCTTTGTCCAGGAAAATCACAATTATCACACAGGAACTTGGAGAATGAACTTGCAGATGGCAATTCCCTCTTGTTTCACATTGTGTGTCTCTCTACTCAAATAAAATAGATGCATAAATCTTTTGAAAAAGAGATAAGGGGCCGGCACTGTGGCACAGCGGGTTAACACCCTGGCCTGCAGCACTGGCATCCCATATGGGCGCCGGTTCAAGTCCCGGTTGCTCCTCTTCCGATCCAGCTCTCTGCTATAGCCTTGGAAAGCAGTGGAAGATGGCCCACGTCCTTGGGCCCCTGTACCCATGCGGGAGACCCAAAAGGAGCTCCTGGCTCCTGGTTTTGAATCGGTGCAGTTCCGGCCATTGCGGCCATCTAGGGAGTGAACCAGCGGATGGAAGACCTCTCTCTCTATCTCTACCTCTCTGTAATTCTGCCTTTCAAATAAATAAAATAAATCTTAAAAAAATAAAGTGATAAGTGAGAAAACTAGGGAAACTTTATGAACAAAGACAGTGCTGGGTGTTGGGTGGAGCATTTTACACACTACTTCTGATGATCACATCCCATATCAGAATGTCAGGTCTGAGTACAGCTTTTCCAGTTCTGATACAATTTCCCTCTAATGCATACTGTGGCAGGCAGCAGTTCATGCTTTTAGTGTTTGGATCTCTGCCACACATGGGGGAAACCTGGAAGGACTTCTTGGCTCCTGTGCTTAGCTTGAATTAACCACAATTGTTGCAGGCATTCAGAGACTAAAACATTAGATAACATCTTTCTCGGGCTGGCACCATGCCTCAATAGGCCAATCTTCCACCTGTGGTGCCAGCACACCGGGTTCTAGTCCCAGGCAGGGCACCAGATTCTGTCCCAGTTGCTCCTTTCCAGTCCAGCTCTCTGCTATGGCCCGGGAGTGCAGTGGAGGATGGCCCAAGTCCTTGGGCCTTGCAACCACATGGGAGACCAGGAGAAGCATCTGCTCCTGGCTATGGATCAATGCGGTGCACTGGCCACAGCACACAGGCTGCAGCAGCCATTGGGGGGTGAATCAACAGAAAAAGGAAGACCTTTCTCTCTGTCTCTCTCTCTCACTGTCCACTCCTGCCTGTCAAAAAAATAAAAAAAAAGATCTTTCTCTTCCTCTGTTTCTAGATCTTTTTCAAACAAATACAAATCAGTAAGACTTTTAGAAAGAATTATAATAAAGGGGAATCAATTTCAAATATGCTGCATATTAATCCAAATAGCAATCATCATCTTAAATGTGTATTAACTAATTACTCCAATTAAGAGACTGACACAGTTCAATTAAGACCAAGACCCAACTTTGGATCCACAGGAAAATTATTTAAATTTAAAGAGACATGGAGGGGATTCGAGGCCATGTTGCTCAAAGGGGAATAAATTTCAACTCCATAGGAAGAATAACTTGAAAATGTACATTGTACAACATGATAACAATAGTTAATAACAATGTGTTCTACTAAGGAAATAATGAAGAAATTGGATTTTAAGTGTTCTCATCACATAAAAGACATATGATATTTTATATATCAACTGAAGATGCATAAATATATTTTAAAGGCAAACATAAAGACATAGACTAAATATAAAAATAAGCACCATGCAGCCCCATGAAGATGCCAGTGGAAAGCAAGTATTGGCTCTTTCTGATGCCCTGTCCCCATTCTGATGTTATTTAGGGATCCTACCCAGAGTCATCTCATTAACACAGACGTAGCTACCATCTGAAATGTGTGTGTTAGGCAGGAACAGAGCCAGGCCTACCATTCAGGAAATTCCAGATGTCTTAGGATCTCTGAGCCAAAAATGACAAATTCAAATAAAATTTTTATTATACCAGTCATGAAAATAATCTCAAATTTAAACTTTCTCAGCCAACAGAAGCTGATCTTCCTAGACATTGAAAATTGACAAATTATACTCTGATTAAACCAAATCTGTGGATGCAAAATGCATGTGCATTTGCTTTTCAAATCTGGCACCACTTAGCTAGGTCAGGTCTTTCTTTACCTTTACAAAAGATTTCCCTCCTGCATAAGGCAGATAGAACCTAGAGGGCACTCATTTCTGCCCTGCCCCTTCAATATCAGCATCAAATTAGCTGTCACTAATATGTCTCCCATAGTGGGAACTGAACTTGGGAGAAGAAATTTTAGTGTCCCAATGGGTTAGCAACATTGATGGAGGGTATACAGTAGAGACCCTTTGCCTTAGAGACATCAAATGTCCCCCTTCTTACTACTGTTCTTTAGGAAGAAACAGCCAGGGGCTGGCACTCACCTGATACTCCTAAGGATCTGGCCCCTGGAAAATCTGTCATCACCCACAACTCAGGACAAGGGAAAGAGAGGAGTGTGTTAGGGAGACATTGCCCTGTAAAGCTTCCGAGGGGATTCTCAAACTGTTGACATTTTAATAAGATGTCTGCATTTAAGGGAGATAAGAAGAAATGGACAGTTTTTTAAAAATGTATTTTATTTCACAAGTAGAGCTGCAGAGACAGTCATGGAAAGATCTTCCACTAAATGGTTCACTCCTCACATGCATGCAAAAGTCAAGGCTGGCCCATGTTGAAGCCAGGAGGCTGGAATTAAATCAGATCCTCCTATGTGGGTGATTGGGACCCAAGTACTTGAACCATCACTGCCTCTTCCTCAGGTGAACATTAGGCTGGAAGCAGAGCTGGAATGCAAACCAGGGGTCTCTGAGAGGGACTGTGGGAGTCCTAGGAACATCTTAACCACTACTACAAATACCCATTTTAAACAAAGATCTCTTTACACTTGTGTGTCAGGTAAGCATTCATAGCTTTCCTCTAATAGGATAGGTTCATAGACAGAAAATAAGTGTTTTAAAAGGTTAAGGAATTTTCTTGTGGGGAAAAAAAGACAATGTTATTTTAGCAATAGTATTTTAACTGAAGCTGAATGAAATATGCCATAAAGAAAATCATTGATGGTGTTGTGAACTTCAAGGAGCAGTTAGCATTTGGCAACATGGAGGAGATTTGGACATTTTTACTGATTTTTTGTTTGTTTTTAAAGATTTATTTATTTATATGAAAGGCAGAGTTACAGAGAGGCAGAGAGAGAGAGAGAAACAAAAGAAGAGAGGGGTCTTCCATTTGCTGCTTTACTCCCCAAGTGGCTGAAATGGCCAGAGCTGGGCCAATCCAAACCCCGGAGCCAGGAGCCAGGAGCCTCTTCCAGGTCTCCCACATGAGTGCAAGGGCCAAGGATTTGGGCTATCGCCAAGTGCTTTCCCAGAGGAATTAGCAGGGAGCTGGAGCATTAGTGGAGCAGCCAGGACTGGAAACTGCACCCATTTGGGATACCAGCACTGCAGGCAGCAGCTTTACTCACTATGCCAGGGAAATGGCCCTGAGATCTTTTTTTTTTTGGGGGGGGGGGCAGGCTTCATACTCTTTATTGAATATGGTTTATCCCTCTGAAACTCTTTGGGGCTAGCTCTGTGACACAGTGGGTTAACACCCTGGCCTGAAGTGCCAACATCCCATATGGGTGCAGGTTCAAGACCCGGCTACTCCACTCTGATCAATCTCTGCAATGGCCTGGGAAAGCAGTAGAAGACGGCCCAAGTGCTTGGGCCCCTGCACCCATGTGGGAAACCCAAAGGAAGCTCCTGGCTCCTGGCTTTGGATCGATGCAGCTCCAGCTATGTGGTCAATTGAGAAGTGAACGATCCAATGGAAGACCTCTCTCTCTCTCTCTCTCTCTCTCTCTCTCTCCCTCCTCTCTCTGTATAACTCTGACTTTCAGATAAATAAATAAATCTTTTTTTTTAAGAAAAAAAAAAGAAACTCATGGGGAACTTTAATTCCAAGTATAACATAATCGATGGGACCAAGTGGAATATTCCAAGTAATGATTAGGCTCAATCTATTCATATGATTAAGGACTATCTCCAGAGGGTCTGCTGTAGAAGCCACTTTGCCCTGGCCACACCAGCACTCCCTTTATTTGGCCACATGGTTTCTGCGGCACCCCAAGCCTCTGCCAACAAGAAGCCACCGCCAGATGCTACCTCGCAACCTTGAGCAGAACCTTGAGTCAAATAACACCCTTTTTTCATAATTTACCCGGTTTGAGACTTGTGTTATTATTAACATAAAGCTACGCAGGGCCCTAGGAAGAGCTACACTGAAAGGACTGGGTTACTGACATTAAACCTTGTTTGCAATTCAGGAGACTCCGGTCATCCCTAAAGAGAAAGGTGGGACAGAGGACCCGCAAATCAGCTTCTCACTCACGTGACAGCCAGATCTGAAGTCTGAATTCTAAGTTCCTTCCTGTCCTCATCAACAATGTTGGCGGATTCGGGGCTCCAGAGCTGAGCCACCGTCACTGCAAACAGGGCCAGGACAAGACTTTCAGGGATCCAGCTGTGGCCCAGCGCACATCCTGCGGCCTGACGGGACTGGACCTCACTCACCATTTTCCAGCTTCTGAGGAGTCCCGGTCCTGAGGTCTCTGTAAGAGGGAACGGAAAGGCTGACCACGGGAGGCCGCGACCAGGAGCAGAGCCGGGAAGCAAAGAACGGCGGAGCCCAGAAAGAAGATTCACACAGCGTTGCCCAGGCCAACCTGCTTGGGTAGGTCACACAATGGCGCGCACTTATGGCGTCAGAGGAGACGCAGCCAATCAGATGCAGCCTGCGGGCCTTGGGACTGTGCTGTGTTGGGGGAATAAGGTGGGTGCCTTGGGCTCAAGTTTGAAGCTGTCTCTCCTCTTCCTGGGACACGACACTCCCACAGCAGAGGGGGCCGACACCTTCCAGACCATCTCCTGAAATACTTCCCTGTTTCATTGTCTGTGATCCTGTGATTCGGGGCTCCTTAAACGTTTTCCGTGAGTTACGGTTTACGCAGTGTTTGGGCTCTAGGTCTTTTCTTTATATTCTTGTTTTTATTTTTCTGTGAGTTTGAGATTTTTAGTACTGATTTGCAAACGGTTGAGTATTATTTCTTGATCTCATTGATCTGTCTAGAGATTTGTTTCCTAGTCTGTATTTTGTCCTTCAAAAATGTTGCCTATTTTTTTTTTCTTGTGCCTAGTAACACCCTTCATTTTATATTGCTCTTGAACCCAAGAATCTTGCTTAATCCTCTCATCAGTTTATATTTGGTTATGTTCTATTATATATATCAAGGTTTTCTTGGTGAAAAATTGACCCTTTTACCTAATATTTCCTGTTCCTCAGTCAGTTTCCCTGACTATACCTCCAGAACAATGTCGATGAGACAGAAGGAGAGGTAGATCCTTGTCCAAGTTCTTCCCTGTTCCATTTAACCTATATCCGGGCTCCTTCATCTCCAACACTTCTTTTTACAGAGTAACTTTTGGCAGTTTTGGGTACCACCCTGTGTCTTTCCAAAGCTGCTGCTTCTGTCAGGTGTCTATGCTATTGACCTGTACCCTGTGTCTTCCTTTGGCTCTGGGCCTCTATGAATCCAATCCAGCCCACTATCTGCATCCCAGTGGTTTTGTATGTTGTCACATCAGTTGTGCCTCAAATGTCCCCACATTGTGTGACATTTGTTTATCTGTTCATCTACTGCAGGGCATCTTGGTTTCATACCTGTGAAATCCAATATGAATAAAACTATTGCATTTATGTTCAAGCTGGATAGTGTGGAATATGTATTTTCACATAAACTGGGTAAATTATATGGACATCTTTGCTGCATTGTATGGTGACACTATTGAAGACTTCACAATCACACCTCCAGATGTCTTGTAAAGTACCCTTATATATTCTGACCAATAATGAATGTGATTTTTGTTTTTTTGATATTCTTGTCGATATTCTTTTACACTGCTGTGTTTATTTGTTTATTATATCTATCTCAAAATATTAGTGCTTAATGCTGGTTAAATTTGAGTTCTTTCTTTACAGTCCTTTCTCTTATCTCATAATTTTATGTGCTTTTTTCTAATCTGCATATATTCAATGTAAAGACAATTCTTAGTTAATTTGCTGTTTTTAAATTTGATAATTTGTCACCTCATTGCTGAGTTTTACAAAGTCTTTATTAATTTTTCATTCAATGACTGCTGCTATTGTTAAATATATATTTATTTATTTACTTATTTGAAAGGTCGAGTTACTGAGAGGAAAGACAGAAAGAAATAGCTTTGACCCACTGCTTCACTTCCAAAATTGCTGCAATGGCCAGGATTGGGTTAATTCAGGAGCTTTATCTCAATTTCGTTCATGGATACAGAGGTCTAAATACTTAAGCAATCCTCCACTGCTTTTCCATATATATTAGCAGGGAGCTGGATTGGAAATGGAGCATTCAGGACACAAATGGCATAGCAATCTGTGGCTTCACCCAACATCCTGTAATACCAGCCCCACATATATACTTTGCTAATATTCTCTCCCAGGATAGGATGTATTTTTCATTATTTTATAAAATTCTTTTTGAATATAAGACATTTTTAATTTAATAGAATACATGTTACATGACCAGCATTGTAGCAGAACAGGTAAAGCCATTGCCTGTGGTTTTGGCATGCCCTATGGACACTAGCACAAGTCCTGGCTGCTTCACTTCTATTTCAGTTCATTGATAATGGCCCAGGAAAGCAACCAAATATGACACAAGTGTTTGGGCCCCATTACCCATATGAGAGACCTTGATGAAGCTCCTGGCTGCTGGCTTCAGCCTGGCCAAATGCTGGTTGTTATAACCACTTGAGGAATGAACCAGCATATGGAAGAAATATCTCTCTCTCTCTTTCTCTCTCTGTTACCCTCTATCTCCCTCTGTGTGTGTGTGTATAATTCTGACTTTCAAATTAAATAAATCTTTATAAAACTAAAGTCTGCATTATATTTTTGTTGATCATATATTCAGTGTTGCATATAACACTAATGCAATTAATTTCTTTTTTCATTTTACCTATGTAAAAGTCTATTCACTATATTGAATGAGTTTATATGTTAGTCCAAATGTATCTCTGTTTTCTTCTCCACTTGGTCATCCAAGAGCACTATATCCAATTGTTACAAAATTACATATTCATCAAGGGCCAGCACTGTGGTATAGTGGCACAGCCACTGCCTGGGATGCTGGCATCTCATATGGGCACTGATGCATGTCCTGGTTTCTCCTCTTCTGATACAGCTCTCTATTATGGCCTGGGAAAGCAGTAGAGGAAGGCCCAAGTGCTTGGACCTGTGCACTGATGTAGTAGACCTGGAAGAAGCTCCTGGTTCTTGGCTTTGGACAACACAGCTCTGTCCATTGTGGACATTTGGGGAGTGAACCAGTGGATGGAAGACCTTTCTCTCTGTTTTTCCATTTCTCTGCTTGTAACTGTATGCTCAAAAAAATCTTAAAAGGAATACATGTTCTTCTCTGTACCTTTCACCAAGATCAGTTAAGTATAAATATTTACCTCCATATATTTATGCCATCCCCTTTAGCCACATTTCTTCTTTACCCAACATCATGACCTTTTCATTACTGTATGTTTATAATAAAACATGAAATCAATAAATGTTTATTCCTCAGATTTACTATTATTCAATAATGTCTGCAGTTTACAAATTTAGAAAAATGTTGATCATTGTCTACAAGACAGCTTACTGGAATTTTTATTGGACCATGCTGAATCTTTTGGTTCATATGGGAAGAATGAATACCTTAATACTATTGTGTTTTTCAGATTAAGACTTAAATCCATTGATTTAGGTTTTTTTCATAATTTTCCCCATACATTTTGTATGTATTTTCATGGATTTATACTTCATAACATTTCTTCCTCCTCCTCCTCCTCTTTTCATCTTCCTCCTCCTCTTCCTCCTCATTCAGTTTCTGCCTCTGCTTTTTCTGCTTCCTCTTTTCTATCTCATCATATGTCTGTATTTCTATTTATATATCTAGCTTCCCTTTCCCTTTTCTCTTTTTTCTATATTGTTAATAATATTGCTTTCTGGGCCAGTGCTGTGGTGTAGAGGGTTAAAACCCTGGCCTAAAGCGCTGGCATCCCATATGGGTGCTGGTTCAAGACCTGTCTGCTCCACTTCTGATCTGGCTCTCTGTAATAGCCTTGGAAAGCAGTAGAAGATGGCCCAAGTCCTTGGGCCCCTGCACTGCCATGGGACACCCAGAGGAAGCTCCTGGCCCTAGCTTCAGATTGACACAGCTCTGGCCAGTGGCCAAGTGGGGAGTGAACCATCAGAAGGAAGACCTCTCTTTTCTCTGCCTTTGCTCTCTCTGAGTAACTCCAATTTTCAAATAAAAACAAATAAATCTTGGATTGGCTTATTTCACTCAGCATAATGTTTTCCAAATTCCTAACAGGGATCACTTTTCAGTTAAAATTTAAACACCTAAGAAAAATTGTGTGTTAATTACAGAGTTCAACCAACGGTACTAGAACAAAAAAAATACTAAAATGGATAAAGTATTACATTGTACATCAACCGTCAGGACTAGAGCTGATCAAGTCACTGTTTCTCATAGTGTCCATTTCATTTCAACAAGTTTCCCCTTTGGTGCTCAGTTAGTTGTCGCTGATCAGGGAGAACATATGATATTTGTCCCTTTGGGACTGGCTTAATTCACTCAGCATGATGTTTTCCAAATTCCTCCATCTTGTTGCAAATGACCTGTTTAAATTGTTTTTGACTGCTGTATAGTATTCTATAGAGTATGTCCCATAATTTCTTTATCCAGTCTACTGTTGATGGGCATTTGGGTTGGTTCCAGGTCTTAGCTATTGTGAATTGAGCTGCAATAAACATTAATGTGCAGACAGCTTGTTTGTTTGCCAATTTCATTTCCTTTGGGTAAATTCCAAGGAGTGGGATGGCTGGGTTGAATGGTAGGGTTATATTCAGGTTTCTGAGGAATCTCCAGACTGACTTCCATAGTGGCTTAACCAATTTGCATTCCCACCAACAGTGGGTTAGTGTCCCTTTTTCCCCACCTCCTCTCCAGCATCTATTGTTGGTAGATTTCTGAATGTGAGCCATTCTAACCGGGTGAGGTGAAACCTCATTGTGGTTTCGATTTGCATTTCCCTCATTGCTAGTGATCTTGAACATTTTTTCATGTGTCTGTTGGCCATTTGGATTTCCTCTTTTGTAAAACGTCTGTTGAGGTCCTTGGCCCATCTCTTAAGTGGGTTGTTTGTTTTGATGTTGTGGAGTTTATTGATTTCTTTGTAGATTCTGGTGATCAACCCTTTATCAGTTGCATAGTTTGCAAATATATTTTCCCATTCTGTCAGTTGTCTCTTCACTTTCCTGACTGTTTCTTTTGCAGTACAGAAACTTCTCAATGTGATGCAATCCCAAATGTTAATTTTGGCTTTGACTGCCTGTGCTTCTGTGGTTTTTCCAAGAAGTCATTGCCGGTACCTACATCTTGCAGGGTTTCTCCAATGCTCTCTAATAATTTGATGGTGTCAGGTCGTAGATTTAGGTCTTTAATCCATGTTGAGTGGATTTTTGTGTAAGGTGAAAGGTAGGGGTCTTGCTTCTGATTCTGCATGTGGAAATCCAATTTTCCCAGCACCATTTATTGAATAGACTGTCCTTACTCCAGGGATTGGTTTTGGATCCTTGATCAAATATGAGTTGGCTAGATGTTTGGATTGATTTCTGGTGTTTCAATTCTGTTCTATTGGTCTATCCATCTGTTTCTGTACCAGTACCATGCTGTTTTGATAACAACTGCCCTGTAGTATGTCCTGAAATCTGGTATTGTGATGCCTCCAGCTTTGTTTTTTTGTACAAGATTGCTTTAGCTATTCGAGGTCTCCTGTGTCTCCATATAAATTTCAGCATCATTTTTTCCAGATCTAAGAAGGTCTTGATTGGTATCGCATTGAATCTGTAAATTGCTTTTGGGAGAATGGACATTTGGATGATATTGATTCTTCCAATCCATGAGCATTGAAGATTTTTCCATTTCTTGGTATCCTCTTCTATTTCTTTCTTTAAGGTTTTGTAATTTACCATAGAGATCTTTAACGTCCTTGGTTAAGTTTATTCCAAGGTATTTGATTGTTTTTGTAGCTATTGTGAATGGGATTGATCTTAGTTCTTC